AGACAGAGGGAGATTTAGCACATATACAAAGAGAAGGCAATGGGAAGGTAAAGCAGAGAGAGATTTAAAAATGTTAGCCCTAAAGATTAAATTGATGGGGTTTTAAGCCAAGGAATGCCGACAGTCACAAGAAGACAGACAAGACAAGAAGTAGATTCTCTCCTAGAGCCCCCAGAACAGCATGGCCCTACTGACACCTTAATTTTCTTCGAGTAATACTGATTTCAGGCTCCTGGCTGCCAATACTGTGAGAGAATAAATTGCTATTGTTTTCAACCAAGAAGTTTGTGGTAATTTGTTACAGCAGCTATAGGAAACTAACACAGTGGGTTAGAGAACACACAGTTCGTGATGGAAAACTCAGGCTGCATGGCCACCCCATGCCTTACAGTTAGTTGTGCAGTCTCCCCCAGGGCCCAGGAACATTCTAGAAGCTTCAAAAGAAGAATATACTTCCACAAAAGCGAGAATATATTTGTTCCAATGTCTTAGAGATCTGTGCTGTAATTATACTACTGGAGCTTGTCAAAAGCACCAGGCAGCAACCCTACTTGCCACAGATATCACGAGAATCACTGAATATGTAGAATTACAAAGCCCTATCAACAGAGAATCTTGTACTGTCACCTGAACTTGTTGCAGAGCCTTCTCTTTGTTCACCATTTGAAAAGGGCAGACTTATAGGTGATAAATCTAGTTTGCTTGAAGTAGCACACTCCTATGTGATATACATTGCCCCCAACACCCAAAAGGGCCTGCCAAACATGGTGCCTCTTCTTTCATGGTAGGTGGTAAGAGATGCAGTAATCTGTCTTTCTCCTTGCAGAAAATATTTGTATGTGCTTCAGACCTTTAAACCATCAGAAGCTTCAACGTAGAGAGCCCAGAATTTTTGTGGGGTTTATCTCCCATCCTCTAGTTTGCATATAACTTACTCAGTTTCTTAAAGTACTATATCCTGCATATCTGATTCAATCAGTATCAAGTTGTAAATGTACTGGATATATAGGATGTTATATAGAATGCCAAGATAATGAAAGTTTCTGTGAACTATTTTATTACAGCAAAAGGCAGAAGAACTGACATATCCCTGAGGCAATACTGTGAGCGTGTACTGTTGATACTGTACACTGAAAGCAAATTGCTTTTATTTAATCTGTCCTTACAAATTAGTATGGACCAAAAACAAACAAGCAAAAATCATTAGCCAGGATGGTAGCTGTTTATCATGTACCAGGGACGATGCTGGTTTCTTCCAGCAAAGGTACATCTGGGATACCAGCCACAGTTGGTGTCACACCTGATCATGTTTATGATGGTGCACAGTTACTCTCCATGATCCACCCTCCTCACAGGCCAAGCAGATTAGGGTTAAATGGCGATGTGACAGAAGTGACCATCTTTACTTCCTTTAAGTCTTTTACAGTGACTTAATCTCTTCAATTCTCCCGGGAATTAACTATTTCTTCTGTTTTACTATCTTGGTAAGAAAGTTCTAGGTATTTCCACTCAGTCTTTTCTACCATAAAGGAGATCACCCATAGGTCAGAGAGCTAATTGATGAATACTGTCAGTTGTCAAATATTCTATTTCAATTATACATTCAGGAATTCAGGAAACACATTGATCAACTAGGCCCACTATGAATCAGATTTAAGATTTCATCTATCACCTGACTACTCTAAGCTTCTGTGCAAGAAAGAGTTAACATAGCAGGCCTCTTATTCTTTGCAAGTTTTGCTTAAAGTATTATCGCTTGGCTGGCATCTGGGAACTCAGATTTTGGTAGGGTTCTCACTATCCTAACTTGTAAGAGTGGTACACTGTGTCTAAACTGTTTGTACAAACAATATGGTTTAAACTAAACACGTGCTTTCCTCCAGGGAGTCTGGAGTTTTGATAGGTGCTAAGTAGAGAAGGACCTATATAACCATGCCACAATTAAAACCCCAGGCACTAAGTCTCTAAGCTTCTCTGGTAGACAATATTTCACAACTTATTGCTGCAGGAATTAGTGTCTCATGTGAGTCCATTTGGGAGAAGACTCTTGGTGTCTTGTGCCTATTTTCCTTCAGATTTCACACCATGCAAATCACTTCGCGGATTTTTCTTTGTATCTTTTAACCATAATAAATCTTAGCCACAAGTATGACTATACGCTGAGTTCTATCTCCTCACGATTCATTGAATCTGAAAGGAATGGTCTCAGGGACTCCCAAAACAGCTCTACTTTGACTGGTGTGGCAAAGTGACATTTTGAGTCCCCAAGAATTAGTGTAAATTCAGAGCCAGAGTTTAGTAATGCCCCCAAAGAACTGGTTATTCCTTTTCTTCCCAATGCACAGTCACTCTGCTAAATGGCTGAAGGTCCCTTAGGGGAAAGCTAAAAGGAAGATTTATGGAATGTACTCATGTGAATGCCACAATATCCTTCCTCGAAGTTACCTGGACTCCCCTTGAATCAAGGGACTGTTTTTGAATTGAATTATTCTAGTAATTGTGTAAGAGGCTATGATTCTTTTGTGGCAAGTCAAATTAGGTGCGTTTGCAACAGACACCAGATGTAATATGTCAGCTTGTGCAGCTGGAGGCAGCTCTAATAGTTTACTCAGTTGGTTGAAATTTAGACCAACTAAATTTGTGGTACCAGATCTAGAGTTTATTCTGTTATGTAATGTAATCAATTCTCTGGTAGGCTTTCTGTTTATTTCATTCCTACAATACTATAGTCAATTAGCCATAGTCAAAGATCCCTGCAGGTCAAGGCATTCTGGTGACTGGTACATTCCTGCTGACCTTAAAAGTACATGTGTCCACCTTGTCTTTTAAGTGCTGTGACCTGGCCTCTGATAATCTGGACATCTTATCCTCATATAATAAGGGAGCTTATCTTAATAGTGGTATCCTCCATGGCTACACCTGGCCTATAAAAGACAGCAATAGCAAATCTTATTTTTCAGCAAAACTGCAAGTGCATCTCTCACTAACACATTCCTCAGTGCCTTAGTGCAGGAAGTGCCGTCTTGGCCTCTTCGTGGAATAGATTTGAGTATTAGGCTTGTAGGTCATACACGATAAATCCACTCTGACATTGTCATTATCCCAAAACTTTTGGAGTCCTTTATCCACATTTTGCCAGGAAAACTGTGGCATCTAAAAAACATTAAATGTAGGCCATCATTGAGTCTAAATTTCAGCCAACTGAGTAAACTATTAGAGCTGCCACCAGCTGCAAAAGCTAATATATTACATCTGGTATCTGATGCAAATGCACCTATACTAGTGAGTTCTGCCTAATTTAGTGTTATATTTTTCCCTTTTTTTTGTCTAACACCCTTAGAAATCTCTCCCCCACGTTTCTAAAGTTTACATTGGTTATATATTAGCAGAGACTTCCAAATCTTTTTTTTAATTGTCATTATTTTTAGACAGAGTCTCGCTCTGTTGCCAGGCTGGAGTGCAGTGGGGCGATCTCAGCTCACTGCAACCTCTGCCTCTCGGGTTCAAGCAATTCTGCCTCAGCCTCCCAAGCAGCTGTGACTACAGGCGCCCACCACCATGCCCAGCTAATTTTTGTATTTTTAGTAGACATGGGGTTTCACCATGTTGGCCAGGATGGTCTCAATCTCTTGACCTCGTGATCTGCCCACCTTGGCCTACCAAAGTGCTGGGATTACAGGTGTGAGCCACCGTGCCTGGCCGAGACTTCCAATTATTTTGGTGTGTATGAGATGTCCTCCTAGGTTATAATGTGTACCTGTCACCAGAGCTTGCTAAAATTTCACCCTAGCTATGTATTTAGTAGCCATAGTGAGTGGTTTTAATGGGTTAACATGAGCAGCCCCTTCAAGGCGCCTTTCCCAGATGAGTTAATCACAAAATTTCAAGCACAAAAAGACTAGTTTCCTCAGCTATAGGAGAGCAAACTAGTTCTCCTGCAAAGGAGTCTCAGAATAACTTGGGGGTTCAAGATAGACAGTTTCACCTGGATTCAATTATATGTCTTAATTCTAAGTATCAGTATTCCATTCCTCCCTATTCAGTGCCCCCTCCCATGAGAAACTTTGCAACACTGAATTTAACCGATCTCAGAATTTAGCAACCTACACAAGTAAATTGAGATTTTGAGCAAAATCTCAGTAAAATGTCAGACTCTTCTCGATCCCATAGTAAAAGAGGAATAACAAGTTCTAAAGAAAAGAGGGGCTGGTCACTATTGTTAATATTTATTACTTACCATGTGTCGTGGGCTTTGCTAAGTAATTCAAAGGCACCTTTTGGTGCCGTTCACTCACTTAATTCCTTTCGTGGCACTCAGAATAAACCCCAAATCTCTGTTATGGCCTTCTGGGTCCTAAATGGTCTGCACTCCTGCTGACCTCTCAGTTTGATGAGGAAGTTTCAGCCACACCTATCTTCTTTCCACTCTTCTCAGCTTACATGTCACCTCCTCCAAACTGCTTTTCTAATGTAGCTCACTCCCCCACTTCATTACTTTCCACATCAAGACCGTGCTTCTTCATATTAATCACTATATTATTTTACTTATTGTATGCTTTTTTATTGCATGTTTAGTATTTTTATTTATGTTTATTTACTGCGTGCTTATTATTTTTACTCCATGAGACTGTAACCTCAACTCAGGCATAGACCATCTATGGTTTGTTCACATTGCAGTGCACCAGAGAAAGACCTTAAGAAGCATATGTAGACTTCTCACACCTCTAGAAGTTGGCCTACATTATTTCCTACTGCTTTTTAAATAGGCAAACGAAAGCTTGGAGAGCCACGTTAACGTATTCCAGGTCTGTCACAATCAACTGGTAGCCACGGTCTGTGGTTCTTCAAGCTGGAGTTTGTCACCTCCTAGGATAACTCCGTAGCAGGAAGTGAAGCTCATTACAATTCCCTGCTGTCCTCCAACCATAGGGGCAGCAGGGTCTGTACCCAGAGGAAACAAAGAGCATCACCATTATCATCACAAACTGGTCTGTGCTTACCATGTTGATAACGTGCCCAGTCCCCACCTTGCCTGGGACCAGAACTCCCAGGAACACCACCAGTCACGCACCCGCGGAGCTGCCAGGCAGCACCCGCCCCCTCTCTCTGCGCAGGCGCGCTCCTCCTGCTTCCGCTGGGGGCGGGGCTGGGCTCCCGGGGCCGGTGGGCGGCTGCTGCTGCTTCCGACCCCCGGCAGGCGCCGGTATGGAGCTTGGGGGTCACTGGGACATGAGCTCGGCCCCTAGGCTGGTCTCGGAGAACGCAGAGCCGCAACAGGAGCGGAAGACAGGAACCGAGGCGGGGGCTACCGACTCCGGTGCGGTCCGAACCCGCCGCTTCCTGCTCTGTCTCTACTTGGTAGGCTTCTTGGTGAGTGCGAGTGTGGGGCTGGGACCCAGTGCTGACTGTGTTCGGGCCTCGGGACCCAGGCGGTTCTTGGAGCTCCCGGGGAGCCCCCAGGGAGTGGGAACCCGCAGTTCGCCTGGCGAGTGCCTCACTACCTATCAAGCTCCACTCTTGCCGCATCACCCACTTCAGTCTGCATCTGGCCACACTGCTTTATTGCCGCTCTCGCGTTCGCTTGCTCCCGGTTCGCGGAGCCTCTTCCCTTCCCTGCTTTTAAAGAAGCCCTGGTACCAGCCTCAGGTGTGACCAGGTGTTAAATGCTGTGGCAGGTGCAGCTTTTGCAGGGCGGAGAACAGGGGCTTGGGCAAGCTTGGAAAAGCCCAGCTGCTGCGCGGCTGCTAGTGAGGTAGGGACACGCAAGCCGTCTTTTCCACCACAGGCAGGGGAGCCCGCTGTTGATGACCCCGCTTGGACAGATTTAGGCACATTTTCACTAGGGTTCTTGGTTGACTTGAATATTAAAAAACGCAGATCAGAGTGAATTTTACCGATCTGCCTTTCGACAAACTGCGCATTGCACAGCGTAGGTTTGGTTTCATCGTGACGTGTGTGCGTGTGGTTTGCTTTTTTACCAGAACAGGCTGGGGAAGCCGCTGTTGATGACCCCACTTGTACAGAATTGGGTGCATTTTCACTAGAGCTCTTGGTTGACTTGAATGTTTAAACACGCAGATCAGAGTGAATTGTATCCATCTACCTTTGGACAGTAGGTGTGCATTGCACAATGTAGGTTTGGTTTCATCATGGTGAGAGTGTGTGTGTGCGTGTGTGCACGCGCGTGTCCTGGTTTGCTCCCTGAGTGCTAATTTCCTACGTAGAATGGAAAGTTCAGTAAGCTGATTCATGGCATTTCTGAACACCTGCCATGTGGTAGGTGCTGTGGAGCTCCACTGTTGTAATCCACAGTTCTGCCACCGAAGAATTTAGTCTTACAAGTAAGCTGATGTTGGTAGTTTCTGGGCCATTATCTGCAAGAACCCTAGATCCACCTTTACACTCCTCCCTTTCCAAGGCTAGGCCTAATTCAGTAACCCTGGGTGTGAGCTAATCCAGTATCTTGAGGACAAGGGAGCTAAGTGTCAATGGAAGAAGGCTACCTTTGAGGCCTTGAAGATAGTATCTGATGGCACTGGGCCCTGGCAAGGAGGAGTCGTTTTCTGCCCAGATGCAGGTCAAGACCACCACTTCTCCCAGTCTCCTGCACTCTCCATGCCCCCCACCTCCATGCAACGTGTTCAACAGTTGGTAAGAACTGTATGTTGAGTTAATAGTTAAGACCACCATGAAAGCATGTTCACCAAATTGCTGCAAGCCCCGAAGCACAAGGCCTTCAGGGAGGGTGGCTTTTTAGAGAAGATTTCTCTGCCTCTAGGGCCATTGCAGGACCCACCCTCCAGCTCCTTGCCTTTAACCTCAGAGACTGGCACTCCTTCTGTCCACTATCCTTTAATCTATTAGTTCATTCTCGGTATGGGGATGCTTAATTCCACTTTTCAGTCTAGGCACCTAGAATTCACAACCAGTGAGTATGGGTGGTTCTTGGAGAGGAGTTGGCTGACATCCAGCCTTTTTAGATGTGGGTCCCAAGCTACTGCTGTCCTATCTCAGAAGGGACTTGGGCTGGTTCAGCCAGATGAAAACATTCGAGCCCTTACCTGGAAAGTCCAGACTAGGGTTCAGAGAATTTGGAAACGAACGTGACTTAGAATTCAAAATGGTTTTAGTATTAGAATAAACAAAGCAATTCACAGATCATCTGTTAAGGTCCACTTTCCAATACAGATTTGAATATTCACAGTTTCTCAAATGTTTTCTTTATGCTGTGCACTTGGCAAGTCTAATCTAGCAAGCCTGATACAGAGTTTTAATAACTTTAATAATATATTCAAGGGAAGCGTTAGATGTCTCATATCTTACGGGAAAAGTTTATGGTTTCCCAAAAGTTGAGAGAGTAGGGATTTTTTTAATGGAAAATATTGTAAACCATTAAAATATATGAAGCTTTATATGAAAGTCACGTAAAGCTACCTAACAGGTGATTGTTAGGTAACATCTAAGGAATATTATACATAATTTAGTTGGTTTTTTTTGACATATTTAGGGATGTAGAGACCTCTAAGATTCTTGGACAAATGGGTTCCGAATGGGAAAGGAAGGGAACAAGATTAGAGAAGTCATTTGCCAAATTGTTCTGTTTTAGCAGTGTGTGTCCTTCCAGGCTTTAATTTGTTTAGGAGGGAAGACCAAGATGACCCTTGAGGCCCATTTTGTTTAGGATGCTTAGATGGTGATGAGATCTATTGTTTCAACCACTTTTTTTCCTCCAGATACTTGGTGAGATTTGTTTTCCATCCCATCAGCTTCATTCAGGTGATAATTCATTTTTGTTGAGATAGTCCAATCATCAATAATTACTGGGGTTCCTACCCTGAAAAGAGTCCTGAAACTTTTGAGTGTACATGTTCATCAGTTTTTACTGAAAAATGTTGATGTTCAGTGAAAGTTTAAGCGGCCCCTTCTGACATGATCTTTTTATGAAGTGGTTACATGCACATGACCAGCTGCCAAATGCAGTGATTTTGAAGAAGCTATGGATTCAGAAGCAGAAAGGAGTGGCCTTTTATAGTAAAGGAGAAGACAATTTTAGAACAGAACTTCCTGAGAGGAAAGATTCAGTGGGAGGTCTCCTTGGAAGAATATAGTATTTTTCAGACTTACCACGTGCTAAAGTAATACCAATTATCAGTTACTGCTTTTGTGTCTGTATTTTCATACTTACCTTCCATAGATCTCAGCCTCCTGACCTAAATATTTCTCTCCATCTCTTATTTAGGATAACCATTTTATTAAATGATATGTTGTACTGGGACTTTTTTTTTTTTTTTTGGAAAAAAAATGTTATTGGACAATCGAGTTTCCTTTTCTGAAAGATCCAGAAGATTCTGGCTGCTACATTTTGAGTCTTTTAAGTGTATAAACATCAGTGGGCTGATGAGATGCAACTGACAGCAAAGCCCAAAAGAAACTGGCTCAGACCCAAAGGAAATTTTAAGTAATCACAATATTGAAATAATAAACCATCACTCTGGTAATGTAATTTTAAGAGCTAATCACAGTCACTTGATATTAGATAACAGGGTCATCTAAAGATGTAACCGTGGAAAAGGCCCACTGAAAAGAGTATGTGGAAATTTATGTATCTATAGTTATATGAATGCACAGCTACCAGGACAGGAAAGGGGGAACAAAAGATTAACTCTGAGCTCAAGGAAAATACACATTTGATGTGAGTTCTTTCTTTCCAACTAACCAGGTTTACGAAAGAAGGAATTCAGGTCAAGTGTAATGAAAACTGTGTGTGTGCAATGTTTTTTCTCGCACTAAACCAACCGTAGCAGGGAACCTAGTGAAGTGAAAATAGGAACAAAATTAAAGGAAAAGTTAATAGTCTGTCTATTAACTCAGAATACCTAGCAAAAAGGACCTGTGCTTATCACCAGAACTGAAGAAGGCAGAAGACGTGTTTGAGCTTACATTGTTTTATCAGGCCTTTCTCAAGCATTATGCCACTTAATGCTCATCATACTTCTACCAGGCAGGTATTACTGTTCTACCCTTTGCAGATGACAACACGGAAGCTCGATAACTTTAAGTAACTTTCCAAAGACAGATGTTTAGTAAGTGATGGAGCTGGAATTGAGAACTGTCTGCCTGATCCCAAAGCCCATTCACTTTCTATGACTTAGCTGCAAAACGCTGGCCTTTCCCCAGTGCACCAGCTTTTTCCTTCCTGCTTTACTGAGCCTTTCTTCTCAGGTATTCTTTTATAAGCTTATAAACCACAGGTCCTAGGACATTAGCCACTTTCGCCAACTCCAGAACGAAACATATTTTTAAGGAAGTACTAGTTCACCAATAAAGACAAATTGTGACTGCATTTTTTCTTAGGACTTATCCACAGAAAATATGGGTTTTATTTATTTTTTTTAATCTGTTTTGTTTGAGGAACTTCTGTAGCATATCCTCCTTGATTGTCAAGTTAAAATGGATCCCAGGTCAGACGAATCCAGGCATTTGCAGGTGGCAGCGGATTCGTATGGCATGCTATGGTGTCCAATTATGATTTCTTTAACATTTTAGATACTGGTTTTAATTTTTAAATTAGTTTAAAATTTTAGGTTTCCTAGTTTGAAAAATGCTAATGTGAGTCCATCAGCATTTATTTTGTTTTAGGATTTGTTTGGTGTCAGCATGGTTGTGCCTATATTGAGCCTTCATGTCAAGTCCCTTGGAGCAAGTCCAACCGTTGCCGGAATAGTAGGTGAGTGGTCAATACTGCTCATTTTTAGAGCACTGAATTTTAAATCCTCTGAACCAAGTACCTGAAAACAGTTCAGTCGTGTAGCCAAATTTTATCCAAAGGTAATTGGGAAATGAGATAAAACAAATTTCCAGAATATTTTAAAATAGTTCCCTATAGCAAATGCAATTCCTTTTCTTCTAGACGACCTATGTTCAGAGAGATTTTGAGGTTTGAGCACTATAACCAAGTCCCATGCCACTAGTGGCAACAGGTGCTTATGGAGCCTCTGCAAGGAACTGGCTGTGTATGTAGAAGAGTAGGTATATGTGGACTCCTGCCTACAGGAACCCTTAACCTAATGTGAAAGACCAGGAAAACATAATCTGCAGGAATTATATCCTGTGGGAAAGGGT